CCAGGTGAAACCGTTAATACTGATCGCTACCGACAGCAAATAATCAATTTGAACCATGCTTTGATGGTAAAACGATCAGAATGTTCCAGAAGACAAGGCAAAGTAATTTTGCTTCATGATAACGCACCATCACACACTTCAAAACCAGTTAAAGACACGTTAAAAGATCTTGCCTGGAAAGTATTAACCCACTCGCTGTATTCACCAGACCTTGCTCCTTCAGATTACCACTTGTTCCCATCGATGGCACACGCATTTTCTGAGCAGCACTTAAAAACGTACGAAGAAGTGGAAAATTGGGTCTCTGAATGGTTTGCCTCAAAACAAGAAAAGTTATATTGGGACGGTATCCACAAATTACCTTAAAGATGGGGGAACTATGTAGCTAGTGGTGGACATTACTTTGAATAAAGCACTTTTGATGTTTCTCTTGAAATTATCATGTTTTCTTTGATTACACAATCCACCATTATTAACCGGTACACTTAGTAGGTGTACATTTCCTAAGAACAAGGATAGCCTCTCATATAAGCACAGTACAATTAGGAAAATTAAGAAATTGAACATTGATAAAATGCCATTATCTAATCTGTAGCTCCATTCAGAAATTATCTGTTGTCCCAGTTATGTTCTATATAGCTTGCATTGTCGCCATGGCTCCAGCCACTCCGGGACTCTGGGCAACGTGGGAAGGCAGAAAGGCGGCTCCGGGCCAGAGCGAAGGCGGTGCCAGCAGCCAGGGGAAGGAAGGCCCATTCTTGCACGAATCTTCGTGCATCGGGCCTCTAGTGTTTTCTACAAAATTCCTCAATTTGAGATAGTTTCCTAATGATTATGTTATGCTATTGAATAGGAATACCATACAAGTGATGCTGTGTAGGAGGTCCATAATTTCAGTATCCTATTTTTAATATTAATATTGTTGATCACTTGTTTGAGGTGGCATTTTGCTAGTTTTCTCCACTGTAAATTAGTAAGTACTTATTAACTATGACCTTTGTTTTAAGAGCTCAATAAATGGTTAACCACTGTTAATATCAGCCAATAGAAGTATTGATACTATTTTCAGAGTTGGGCACAATATTAAAAGTCAACCTGTTTTCCCAGGTATTGGAATCCCACTCTATAATATCCTTTCTATGTGGTCATCTGTTCTTCCCTTAAATACTTGTGGTTATGTGAGCACAGTTTCCCAAAGGAGGGCTTTTCATATTTAGAGAGCACTCATTGTTAGAAAGTCTTCCTTAAGCTGAGCAAAAATCTGTCTCCCTGTAACTTTTATTTCTTTATCTTAATTCTTTTCTTTGGTGATCATATATAATGCATCCAATTCTATTTCCATGTGGTCCTTATTCTACAATTGAATCCCCCACCTTTCCTTCAGCCTTCCAGGTATTTCTCTAGTCAGTTCCATTCTCTTCATTTTGGTTGCCACTGGTCTACTTTTAAGATATGTGTTTCATGAAATATTGCAGTGATCTCTTTTACCAACCAGGTTAGGCTCAGTTATGCTTCAGTAACAAAAGACATGAAAGATCTTACTTTATAACAATTGAGATTTCTTTCTTGTTCTTTTTTTAAACATATTTTTATTGATTTCAGAGAGGAAGGGAGGGGGAAAGAGAGAGATAGAAATATCAGTGAGAGTGAATCATTGATTGTCTTCCTCCTGCACACTACCTACTGGGGATTGAGCCCACAACCTGTGCATGTGCCCTGACCAGGAATTGAACCCATTGAACCCTGACCTCCTGGTTCAAGGGTCGACCCTCAACCACTGAGCCACACTGGCTGGACGAAGTTTATTTCTTGCTCGTGCTGCTATCCATTGTGATTCCTTTACTGCAGCACTCTCTTGCAAGCAGGAATCTGCTGATGAGGCAGCCCGTTCAAAGACTTGTTGGGCTGTTTGCAGAAGGCAGTGGTAAAATACATAATAGCCCCTCGAAGGCTCTGTTCAAAAGTGGGGTATGTCATTTCTGCTCACATTTTACTGACCAAGATATTTTCCACCAAAGTCAAATGGATGAGAAAGTAAAATCCATTAGTAGGGGGTGCCAAAGTCACATGGCCAAACAATGTCAGTGAGAGAAGGCGCGGGATAGCACACATTTAGGAAGAGGATAAAAGCTACCATACCTGTCAGTTGAGGTCTTCTCCCTTCTAATAATCTATCCTCTAATCAGGTGCTAGTTATATTATTTAAACACAGATATGTTTCTAAAACACAATTATGGATGTATTTATACATGTTTTTAAAAACTGAGCCATAGTGGCTTCTTTGCATATTTTCTTCATTTGTGATTTAGAATTTCAATATTTGAATATTTAGGCCTTCCAACTTTTATAATTTTAGATCATGCTTATTTTTTCTTTCTTCTGAGAAAGTAACTGTGCTTCCTGTTTTCTTAATGATCGATTATTCCTTTTTGGCAAAATGCCTAGAATGATAAAAGATCATTAATTTGGTTTTTACTTATATAGAATCTCTGCTAATTTGACTTGATTCTCCTTCCCCCTTCCTTCCTAAGTTTTTAGAATAAAACATAAGCTGATTTTGATGGAAAGGTATTTTTCCCCCTCAAACATGCAAATCATTGCTTTGCACACAATAGAAGATTACATGGGTCTTTTGATGCTGTTTTGCTCTATTCTGTCCACACTTACTTAGGGAGACTTTAATCTGTGGGCATTTAACATTTCTAAATATAATGGCTCTTCAGGGTAGTCCACTGGTGCTGCTTTCCTAATGGATTGTCAGCATATTCACCCCTCAGTAATTTATAACACAGCTGTAAAATTGCCTTTGGCTCAGAGCCTCTTGATTTGCCAGAGTTGCAGTTTAGAGTGAAAATATTCATTTGGAAAAGTACAGTTAGAAATACATGAAAATTGGAATTGTAATTATGATGACATATTTGTAAATAACATATTTGTAAATTACCAGCTTTTAATGTCCTGTGGTATTGTGATCCAATAGAGGTGATCATCAGAGGGTAAATGAGCACTGTCCTTGGATGTGTTGAGTCAAGGATTTCAAAATAGTAAATATACGGGGTGGGCAAAGTAGATTTGCAGTTGTAATACAACTAAATAATACAATAATTAGTGAATAATAATACAAGAATAAACTCTGTGTTTTGCATACTCACAACTGTAAACTTTCTTTTGCCCACCCCTGTATTCACTAGAGCACAGTGGTAGGTTCAGCCCTAGGTGAAGAAATGGCGATATAACATTGCAACATTGAGAGTCCTTGAGTATAATATGGTCACAGGGGCAGGACATGGTTAATCAGTGAGATCCCATTTTACTGAACTGTGACAGTGTGCAGTTCTCTAAAGGATAGTAGGAAAATGAGTCTTTAGACCTAAGTGGTAAATATGCTTTAAAGCAGCAGTCGCCAACTGGTGGTCCAGGGACCACTGGTGGTCCATGAGGTGTGAAAGGTTGGTGACCGCTGCTTTAAAGGAAGAGACACTAGACATTACAGACACAAGTGAATGAAAGCACATGTCTAATTGTGAATGAACAGAGAGAAACATGTTCACCTTAAGATAATCAATTTATCTACTTATTTAATATTTTTTGGACGGAAAAATTAAGACTTTAAAAATTTTAAAAAGTAAACATTTTTTGTGGTTCTTTGGAATTGCACTAGAATGAATGTTTCATGCGAGAGTAGGCCTACAAAAGGGCCTAACCTTAAAGAGATTTTGGAGAGGATGGGAATAATAAAGTGTGCTTGGCTAGAGGAGGGAGCATACACTAGCAGTGGTTCTCAACCTTCCTAATGCGACCCTTTAATACAGTGACTCATGTTGTGGTGACCCAACCATAAAATTATTTTCGTTGCTACTTCATAACTGTAATTTTGCTACTGTTATGAATCGTAATGTAAATATCTGATATGCGGGATGTATTTTCAGGGGTCGCGACCCACAGGTTGAGAACCGCTACTAGGGTATAGGTAGGAACCCAATGTAATGGAGTTCCTAATAGAAGGAATCAGCTGAAAAACTTTCTTCAGCCCTTAAATTATATGGGTTTCTGTTATCTGGTTGGGATTTGGGAGCACTGCAGTTTCTAGAAAGGAGACTTCTTTGCATATGTGTTTGGTATAGATTAGAGTGGTAAGGTAAAGGCTTTGATACTGGTGAAGTTACTCTGTTATGAAGTTATATAAAATTTAGTGTACCTGTGCAGCTCTATAACTTTGTGTGTGTGTGTGTGTGTGTGTGTGTGTGTGTGTGTGTGTGTATGTGTATTTTGGAGAGGCAGAGAGGGAGAGAGAGATAGAAACATCAATGATGAGAGAGAATCATTGATTAGCTGCTTCGTGCATGCCCCCTACTGGGAATCGACCTTTGACCTCCTGGTTCATATGTCGATGCTCAACCACTGAGCCACACTAACCAGGCACTATAACTTCTTGATAACCTAAAGTGCAGTTTGGTTGAGAGTGTGGTAGAGGAAAACTATATTTGGACATTTTAATCTATGAAAACCGTCATACTTATAATTTCATTATTTGAGGGACACAAAGGAACCCAAAGTTTGTGGTGGCTCCCTTCTAACCCTCCTAACTGTCCCATCTGGGAAATGGCTTTCGGAGTTAGGCTGTGGCTGCTGCTGTGGCACCTGTAATCCAATATCTGGTCTGCCCATGGCTTTAGGATTAGAGCTTGCGGCATGCCAACTTTGGAATCAAGTTGCTTGTGTAGTTAATTATTTAGAGCCATATGGCAACACACACACACACACACACACACACACACCCCTCACCCTGATATTATTTTCATTTTCAGTAGCTGTGTTTTTTTTTTCTTCTTGAAACAGTGAATTTTGAGCTGTAGTAGGGATCTAGGAATTATTTCTAAAGAGAAATGCTTTCCTAGGACTGTTGATTGAAGAACATTTTATAAATCTTGCAAGTGGTCTTGCAAGATAATATTATACTATCTTACAGAATTATGTCATACCTTCACAGTAAGGAAATTTTGAAAATCTCAGTGATGAGGAAACATTTTGACAGTTTAATTGCTGATGTTTTTTATTTCCAATGATGTATGCCATTTGTGATTATTGATGCAATGACTTCCTAATTTATTGAAACTATAAAAATAATTCTTGATGTAATTATCATAGGTGCCTAATGGATAAGAACTTCGTTAGGATTGGGAAATGGTTTGTTCGACCGTATGAAAAGGATGAAAAGCCAGTCAACAAAAGGTGAGTGTTTAGAATGCTCTTGTTTTTTTTGGTTGCTTTTGCTTGACCACAACTATCTTTGGGGAAGAAGTGGGTGGGGGACGCAGCTTATTTGTTTACTTTCTAATAATGCTAGTAGTTTATATGTACTACAATAGATTTCTGGATCACATTTTATTAAACACTGCATTACAAAATTTCTATGGAATATTAAAAATTGAACTAGAAAGATGATTATCACTATTGCCTACGTATAAGCTCCTTATTACCACACTATTTAGAATTGAAATATTTTATTTTGTTATTTTTCTTCTTTATTTTTCTTCTTTAAAGTATTATATGGCATAACCTTTAAAAACAGTCAAATGAATTCAAATGGTGACAATATTTATGATTGATGCCCCTTAAAAGTCAATCAACACATCCTTGCTAATTGTCAAACAAGGACTGTGAATTACTGCTAAACAGTGCTAAACTTTTGACCATCAAAGGCAGTCCTTGATACTAAACAAAAATGGAGGCTTAGATTAATCAAACCAGAACCAATAAACAAAACACTCAAAATGAAATATTTACCCACTTTCCTCTGAACACAGGATAGACTTAATTAAAATCATAAGTTGATGGTGATTACTTCATTTCTGAAGAGCAGGGTACACAGTCTTTGTTCTTCTTTATTTTATTTTTTTACTACCATACTTATCCTAAGCTAAAAGTCCCAATTCCTGGCTATAGGTAAGAGTTCTTGAAGCTTTTTATGGTAGCTCTAAGGTTAGATCTTTTGGGTAGTTTGCCAGAATTTTGGCTGTCAACTCTTGCCTCTTTTGGAACCTTTACTTTCTTAATTTTCTACCAGAGATCCAATTAGCAAGCTTTATGTCTAAAGCTTTGATGAAGTGGTTGTGTGGAATCTGCTCATTAACCAAATCTAAGTTATGAAAATTTGGTTTCTTTTTTCAAATCTGATAAAATAAGGACTGCCTGCTGCGGCTCCCCCATCCCCCAAATCACCATGAAGTTCCTTGAAATATTTTTTCCTCCTTTAGTACATTTAAAATTTTTTAGGATTTATTTAAGAAGTGTATTCAAATAGAACATAGTAGGTATTATGTATATCAAAGTTTGTGTGGAAAGGATAATGACACTTTTAGAAAGGTGCCAGTATGTATGGGTGTGTAAAAGTGTGATTCTATTTACAGATGCTTTGATTGAGGAACTTTTTCTTTCATTTATTTTGATTTGGTCTGACCAATGCATATGTTCCGAGAACATAATTAGTCTTTGTGTTTTCCCTCAACTTTCTGAATGGTTAAAGTTTTGGCTTCTAATGTTGATGAGTCTAAATGGTTAACTATGGAATTGCTTTAGCACAAGGATCTCTATACGATTCTTAGTATGGCTCACTATGCTTAGTGTGCATCCCCATAGCTGCTCACTGGTGAGTTAACTGAGCCAGTCCTAAATGTGTGATGATGTGACAGGAATTTGAGGAATGAAGAGGAAATGTAGAAATAAAATAATGATTGAAAGAGGAGCAATTCATATTTAGTGCTTTCAGAAAGGAAGGGAGAGGGAGAGAGAGCTAGAACCATCAATGATGAGAGAGAATCATTGATTGGCTGCCACCTGCACACCCCACACTGGGGATCAAGTCGCAACCTAGGCATGTGCCCTAACCAGGAATCAAACCGTGACCTCCTAGTTCATAGGTCAACGCTCAACCACTGAGCCACGCCGTCTGGACATCAATTTGTATTTTTAATAGTTAAAAAATAATGTTTAAAAGTCAAATGTAGTTATGAATCTATTTTATACTAGAGGCCCGGTGCACAAAAATTTGTGCACTTGGGGGGGCTCCCTCAGCCCGGCCTGTGCCCTCTTGAAGTCTGGACCGCTCGGGGGATGACCACCTGCTGGCTTAGGCCCGCTCCCCAGGGGATCGGCCCTAAGCTGGCAGTCAGACATCCCTCTGGCAGCCCGGGAGCCCTTGGGGGATGTTCACTTGTCAGCGGGGAGCAGGCCTAAGCTGCAGTTGGACATCCTTAGCGCTGCTGAGGAGGCGGGAGAGGCTCCCGCCACCACCGCTGTGCTGGCAGCCGTCAGCCTGACTTGTGGCTGAGCAGAGCTCCCCCTGTGGGAGCGCACTGACCACCAGAGGGCAGCTCCTGCATTGAGTGTCTGCCCCCTGTTGGTCAGTGTGTGTCATAGTGACCAGTCATTCCCAGTGGTTCTGCTGTTAGGGTCAATTTGCATATTACCCTTTTACTATATGCACGGGTGGGGGCTGGCTGGTTTGCCCTGAAGGGTGTCCTGGATCAGGGTGGGGGTCCCGCTTGGCTGCCTGGCCAGCCTGGGTGAGGGCCTGAGGGCCGTTTAAAGGCTGGCCACACCCCCTTCAGGGAGGGGGGTCCTGCTGGGGTGACTGGCCAGCCTGGGTGAGGGGCTGATGGCTGTTTGCAGCTGGTCACACCCCCTTCAGGGTAGGGGTCCCCACTGGGGTGCCTGGCCAGCCTGGATGAGGGGCTGGTGGCTGTTTTCAGGCTGGCCACACCCCCTTTAGGGTGGGGATTCCCCACTGGGGTGCCTGGCCAGTCTGGGTGAGGGGCTGAGGGCCGTTTTCAGGCTGGCCGGCGACTGAAGCTCCCAGCTTCTCCTTTTTTTTATTCGTTTTTATTCTGGTTATTTATTTACCTTCTATAATTGAAACTTTGTTGCCATCACTGGAGCTGAGAACCGGCTCCTGCTCGCTCCAGCTCCGAGGCCACGGCCTGCTGAAAGCAGGTATCTGCGGTTTGTTTAACTTCTATAATTGAAACTTTGTTGCTTTCGGAGCTCAGAGCTGGGCTGCGGCAGGCGGGGAACCTTGGCTTCCTCCATCACTGGAGCAAGCAAGCCTCCTGCTCGCTTCAGCTGCATGGCTGCTGGCCGCCATCTTGGTTGGGTTAATTTGCATATCGTGCTGATTAGCCAATGGGAGGCGTAACGAAGTTACGGTCAATTACCATGTTTGTCTATTATTAGAAAGGACTAGAGGCCTGATGCATGAAATTTGTGGGAAGGACTTGGCCCTTGCATCACTGCCCCCCTCCCACTGGTGGTTTCAGAAAGTCATTCTGGAAGGTCGTTCCAGAAGGTCATTCTGTCGTCTAGTCTAATTAGCATATTAGCTCTTTATTATATAGGATAGAGTTTATATATCTTCACACTTAATTTAGATCCCAAAAGTCTTCCTAACTTTAGCCAACCAATAGATGTAAATAATTCTGAGCAATGTAATGGAATTATTTTATTATATTTAGAATTCATGATTGAATGTAGAATTTTTTTGTAATGTAGAAATGTTAATGATATTTTTATTGGGGTAATATTAATAAAATTACATAAATTTCAGATATACATTACAATTCTCTATCTTTTTACTCTATTGCGTGTTCAGCACCAAAAGTCTAGTTTCTATGTTACCCTATATTTGGCCCCCTTTACCCATTTTGTCCCCCCTCTACTCCCCTAAATGTTAATGATTTTGAAAAAAAAACAACATTTTAAAACACAGTATCAGTTAGAAAAATTTAAAACCAAAGCTTGAATTTGAACAGTTGGCATTTGCTGTTATAAAACTTTATTAAGTGTAACGACTTTTCCTCTTTTATTTGCTGAGTGCTGATAGAGCTTCTTGGTGGATGTTGACAGAAGATCTCAGTGGTTAAGTCGTTTTAGGTGGATAGAGTGACACTGCGGAGAAGGACATTTAGAATGATAAACTTTGGGATCACATTCCATACCTTTCTTTACAAGTTATTTGCCTTTGGATAAGGTGTTTAGTTTTTTCTGGGCTGAACATTGTTTTTTTGCTGTTATTGAGTAGCAGTTACTATCTTAGGAGAACTTGCTGCTCAGTGCTAAACAAATTGTATGCACAAATTATTATTTTTAGGAATACTCTTACTTGATGCCATTAGATACAAATAAAAGGAATGTATTTTAAAGAATAGTACTCTGTATAAAGTATAGTAATACTAACATATATTTAATTTTGTTCAATAGGTTAAAAATACGATTGAAAACATGACATATTTTATGTAGCTAAAATAATTCTAATAGTGGGAAGAAATGAATATATTGATGAATAGTGTTCCCCTGTTAGATTAATAGCATATAATTTCTTGAGCTATAAATTCCATATTGATAGCAAGACTAAATCATTTACTGTGGACTATAAAATAGAGTTCTCAATGTTTGATATGAGATAATGCTCGGGATAATTTTAGAAAAAGTATATATATAATAAATTTGACCAGGCACGTCCAAGAAGATAAAATAAATTTATTCATATCATTTTTTTCTCTATAGTGACATATGTTTGGTTATTCATATCCTTGGGAATGTAATAAGTAGGAAAGAAAACTTTGGCTTTGTCCTAAAGAGTTATGACAACTAACAGCAAACATTAAACAATTATGGTTTCTAAAGTATATTGAACTTGAAAAAGCCTTTAACTAGATGCTTAAACCAGTGGAAATAAATATTTTAAAAATGATTTAGAAATTATTCCAATTATAGAGTCTCTTTCTTCTAGAGAGCTGTTCATTTTCTAATTTAATTCCAGCCCACATTTGATTATTGCAGATTTTAGTCTATTAATTTTAGCCTTTAAATGCCATTTTTAGCAAAATAATTGATTGCCCCCAATGACAATTTGCACCTTTGATCTTTTCTAGGAATCAGGTTTATATTAGTTGGGCTAATACAAATATTGGTAAACACAAATAACCAACTTGCTAGTGCATTTTCTGAACTAATTAGCTGTCTCTTCTTCATGTGCAAACCTGCCCTCCTCTTAGATGATAGTTCAAATAGCCTCATATACTTTCAAATATTCTAATTACTTTTTTATGTCATGCACCTCACTGGGGATCGAGCCCAAAACCCAGGCATGTGCCTGATGGGGAATCGAACGGTGACCTCCTGGCTCATAGGCTGAGGCTCAACCACTGAGCTGTGCCGGCCAGGCCACTGCTCAC